AATAAAATAAAAAAAATAAAAAAAACCATGGATACTAGCTGAATATCTTGTATGAACACAGTAAATTATGGTTTATTTAATAAACCATGGTGAAGCATACCTCAGCTTAGTGCCATGTGCACCTGAGTACTTCTTTTCATATAGCTGTGTATGTTTCCATTCAATGACCATGTCACATCCAGCTTGACAGACTCTTTGAAACACCGTGGAGACTCTCTTTAGCGTTACTGTGTTTCCATAACGTTGCTGAGGTTCCACAGCTGAACTCTTAACTTCCAGTTCAGCAGTAGCACAGGAGGACAGGCAAGGACAGTTCTGCAGGTTGAACTGAAAGGGTGAGGTGGTGGGTGCCTCCTCCCTGGCCAGAATTCTTGCCTGCTGGTATCTCCCTGCTGAAAGCAAGGGGCCAGGCACCATTTCACCATGCTTCTCAAGAATAATTTTTCAGTCTTTTGAAAGGTGGATAGGATAGGCTTTCTTCAGAAAAAAAGAGAAGAAACACGCAGAGCTCCATATAGGACATAACCATTTCCTAATCCTATCCAGGATAAGAAGGAATGGATTTGAATAGGAGTCTGTTTCTATTGTATTTTATTACAAGGACTGGAGAGTCAAGGGGGTTGGAGAAAAAGGAACAGGGAAGCAGTTATTCTATTTATAGGCTGGATCTAAAAATAAGTTAGATGCAGTTAGTTCTCATTAACTTCTATAAAATTAAGCTGAGCTAGAACTAATTTGTTCCTTGGTTTCATTAGGGAAAATTTAACTGTTACTTTGGATCCTACTCTGAATCTCCATGGGTGGTGCTCTAATTCAAGAAAGAAATAATAATAATAGTTGTTATCATTATTTATTTATTTATTAAACTTGTATGCTGCCTGACTTTCAACAACTCTGAGTGGCTCACAACAATCAAAGACATTACAATAAAATCAGTAAAGACCCCATAGATGAGGCCCTCACTATTGATATGCTATATTAATCCAGACAAGTTCAATATCACAAGGATAGCATCAAAGCTTTATATGAACCTTACCAATTTCAACCACATTATCTCACTTACAGAATATATAAACTCCACAGTTAAGAAATAAAACTTTTCTAAAATGGGTAAATTATTTCTGGCCTTTGTGTAGAAGACAGATCAGAAAATTAAGTTTCACTGATGGACATCATGTCTCCCATGTACATTTTAGAAATGATGTTCACTAGTGAAACTTCATTTTAAAAATGATTGTGCTGCTTTCTGTAAAGGAACAGAAGTTAAAAAGTTAAATGCCAGACACCAAGCAGGGGCATCCCCAGAGTGTCAGAAAAGCATGAACGTGGCAGCCGTTGCCACTCCACCAAAGCCCCATCCCTTTTTCACGTTTGCAGATGCCATCTTGACATGCCCTGCAGAGCCCCTTAGACCAAGCAAATGACAAAATACGCCTGGCTTGACCCCCCCCCGCCAATTTGGCAGTGTACATTTGATAGCCTGTAATTTTATTCACTGAAGTATTTAAGGTTGCTGACAACTGTAAAATATGTTCAGTCCCATGTAGGCTTCCTCTTGGTCAAGGATGACCGGGAGAACAGAACGTGCTTACTAAGGCTACGGAAAGTGTATGTGACTTCAGTGGATAGGAAGAAGCACGAGAATGGAAGTCACGACAAAGTGCTAGGAGGTACACGTGGGTGTACTGAGCTTGAAAGTAGTTTTGTTAACATACTCCAACTTCCTGGAAGTAAAAAATAGTATAAAAAGAAGCTGGTTTTGGTTGTTGATCTGCAGGCTTTTGTTCTGGTTTCTTTTTTTCTTTCTTTGTGCTTGAAGTGAATCAGACCCTCCTATTATCTCCTTCAGCTTAGCTGATAAGGCCGAGATCTATAAGCTCAGATCCCAGCCATGCTGAGGGAGGGGTAGATAATATTTAATTGATCTGCTTCATTCCTGTAGGCTACTCCACCTCAGCAGCTTTGAGGTGTGGACTTCAACTCCCAGAATTCCCCAGCCAGCATGAGACATTCTGAGCAAGAGTCAGATAAATTCATCTGCCCAGCAGTTCCCAAGTTCCGCGAGGGAAGTCCGGATTATCTCAGTTACACAATGGGCTCCCATCTTTTCAGTGAGGCACAAAAGGATTTCTGTCTTTGTTAGTTCTATTGCTAAAATAAATAAGTTTAAAAAATATGTACAAGTTTTACAACCCCTGCTGTAC